CTCTGGGGCGGCGCGAGGACGTGGACGGCCAGTACCCTAGGCGTGACGGCGCCAAGCGCCAGCCAATGGGCAGCGGGCGGGCAGGGCTCCGGCGGTTCGAACGGGAAGGCACCGAAAGGGGCAGACTCCCGGGCATCGGTGGAAGGGCACCTGCTCTCAGGGATGGGCAAGGGCCGCAGGAGAGGGCAAGACCGAACCCCACGCCCTCACCTTTAGAACAAATGCAGAGGGCACACTTCCACAGCTACAGTCTTTACACATGTGAAAAATACCTTTAACTGCTGTTAAAACCTTTATTTAAAGAGCAACAACGGGGTGGGGGGGACTAATATTTTTGTTTTTTGAGGCAGGGTCTCGTGTAGTCCAGGCTGGCCTTGAACTATGTAATCCAGGCCAGCCTTAAACTCGTGGCAGTCCTGCCTCAGCCTCCCAACTGCTGGGATCATAGGTGTGTGCCACCACGCCCGGCAATGTTCTTTATTTGATAAGCCAAGTACATAGTGCCCATCACCCAATAAATCATCCCTCAGAAATCTGTCCCCTCCCAATACAGACACAGACAAAACACATAGAGGATCTGGATCCGTCGTCACTTCTTGTTGGCCTGGGCAGTACCAATAACACACTGGTTTACCTGGGGACAAGAGGTTGGACAGGATTTTAAAAGTCTGCAGAGTAATCACGCAAACAATTTTCCCAGGTTCAGGCTGCTCCCACTGTGATTAGCTCTGACTGCTCTGAGATCTGGGGAAGAAGAGATGCACAGAAGTGATGGAAGAGGCTCCCATCTCTAGCAATTCCCTGACTGGAGACCCCAAAGCCTAGACCAAGTAGTAATGTGCATTTAGGAAAGGGGCTCATCCCATTTCTGGAGGTGGTAAGGAATAAGCAGAATCTGAGACATGCTACCAGTGCTCTGTTTAAAGGATGCAAGAAACAGCCTGTCAGGATGGCATATGGCTGTAAGCTGAGCACTCCGGGAGGCTGAGGCAGGAAGATCACAAGTTGGAACCCAGCCTAGGAAACTTAAGAGCTGGGGATGTAGCTCCATGAGATGGCCCTGGGTTTGATTCTGAGTATGGCCCACAAAAAGGACACACGCTGCTTTGGGATGTAGCCTGGCATGTTGGAAGCCCCTGGGCTCAGTCCCCACCACCACCCAAAAACTAAAAAGGACCAAGGAGCAAAGCTGAAGGGGCTCACAGCACATTGGCCAAAGATGGAGCGATCTCAATATGAGAAAATGACTGTAAAAGATTGGTACGTGAAGTAGAGGTGTCTGTCAAATGGTACGCTCTCCCCGTAAAACTCAAACTCAAGTCTTTCCAACTGCTGATATCAACTCAGTGCTAAGAATTAAAATTATCTTACACTTTTCTTTTTTGGTACGAGGGGTCAAACTCCGGACCTTGTACTTTTCAAGGTAGGTAGTGGAACCACTGAGTTGAATCCCTGCCCCCCACCTTTTTATATGGACGGAATCTCAGAGCAACCAAGTACAGGCATGCCTCATTTTATTGCATTTTACTGCACTTCACAGAGAATGTGTTATTTTTTCACAAAGAAAAGGTTTGTGGCAATCAAGGAAGTGCTATTTTTTCAGCAGATCAGGTTATTCTTATCACTTTTATTTTCTAGCAAAATATTTTTTAGTTAATGTACAAACGTTTTTCGGGGAGAGGCAGCTATGCTAACTGCTATACCACCGCTTTTTTTTTTGGTACTGGGGATTGAACTAAGAACCTTGCTTGCGCTTTCCAGGCAGGAGGTAGCACCACCAAGCTAAATCCCCAGCCCTTGGTATATATACACTTGGTGTGTGTGGGAATGGGAGGGGGTTACTGGAGATCAAACTTGGGTCCTTGGGCTTGCAAGGCAGGCAGTGGAACCACCGAGCTAAAACCCCAGCCCCTACACTTTTTAAAGACAATGCTACTGAACACTAATAGACCAGAAAGCATTACTAATGGAGAACTAAGAAGTTCAGAAAAACACTTTAAAGTGAAACAGATGTAGATATGATCATCATTTGTTACAATCAAGGTGAAAGTCAACTGAGCTTTTAAATGGATCAGGTTGACAACACCCAAATCTCAAATCTGAGATCGATATTTGTATCATTAGAAGCAGAGCTGGGGATGGTGTCACAATCCTGTAATCTCAGTGTTTGGAGGCTGAGGTGGGAGATAGATGCTGAGTTTGAGGCCAGTCTGAACTACATAGCAAGACCCTGTCTCAAAAAAAAAAGCAAAGCAAACAAGATAAAACTAGCTGGGCACCCATGCCTGTAACCGCTGAGGAAGGAGGGTGGCTGTGAGTTCAAGGTTGGCCTGGAATACACAGCAAAGTCTCAACAACCATAGACTAAAATAGAACTGAGCCAGGCGTGGTGGTATACACCTGTAATCCCAGCACTTGGGAGGCTGAGGCAGGAGGATTGCTGTGCATTCCAAGACTAGCCTGGGTTACACAGTGAGTTCCAGATCAGTCTCAACTACATAGTGAGAACCTGTCTCAAAAAACCAATAAATAAATAAATAGATAGATAAAATAAATAGTAGAACTGGATACTAGGTGCTCTCTCATAATAGGAAGTGTACCACTCCATTTAGTAAGTTTTCTTGTCAAGAAATTTGACCTAGAATTTAAAATCTAATGAAACCAGGCCAGGTTAGCTCAGTGGTTCCACCACCTGCCTCACAAGCGCAAGGTCCTGAGTTCGATCCCCAGTACCAAAAACAAAAAACAAACACAAAATCTAATGAAACCCCTCAATCTCACTACTAGATAACAAAAAAGTATGAAGAGCAGAGGAAGCAACCAGTCACGGATGCTCACTGGGAGACAAGACCTCACTTCCAACAGTACAGAAGAGTAGCAAGGGCCTGTTACAGAGTAAAATACACTTGAGATGTTCTGACCGAACCCTGATTTGAACAAGCCCAGTGTGTACAGCAGTCAGTCCTGAGACAACTGGTGTTGACGTAATGTTAAAAGTCAGGCTCAGTGGTGCAACACTAGGGCCTTGGCGTCAGCCCCCAAGGCCAAAATAGGACTAAATGAAGAAAGTGTTTGGGGGGCACCTGACCACAGCGGAGGGGCAGAGGTGGGTGACTCGGGCCAGGCCTCAGCAGCACTGAAAGCGGGGAAGGCTTAGCACAGGCCAGGCAGCTGGATCAACCCCAGGGAAAGCCCCAGACACCCAGACACACACACACACACACACACACACACACACACGCATGCACGCACGCCTGTGGGTGTAAAGAAACTTCCCAATTGGCTCAAGCCCAGGAGAAGGAGCGCTGAACCTGGTGGAACACTCCAGACGGCCCTGCGCACCTCCTGTGCACCAGCTTCTTGCTTCAGAGCATTTGCCCAGCAAATGCACAAGTGCACGAGGCACGTCGGTGCGGCCTTTTCACAGCAAGTGACGGAAACAGCCCAAGTGACCAGCAGAGGGAACTGAGGGATACATAGAGTCCGGGACAAACCTAAAAATGATGTGACGTCCCGAGTGCTGATGTGGTGCAATCCTGGGGCCATCTCCCGCATCCAGTACCAGGGATTAAACCCAGAGCCTTTGCACTGAGCTACCATCCCAGTCCTTTTTTACTCTATTCTGAGACAGGACCTTACTATTCCACTCAGTTGCCCAGGCTGGTCTTGAATTTGCACTCCTCCTGCCTCAGCTTCCCAGAGTGCTGGGATCATAGACATGCATCATACCTGGCTCTCAAGCAAAACAAGTAATACAGAAATACATATCTGCATATAAACAGAGAAGAATAAGAATATCCATATATCTTATTTTACAATATATCATTTTGATCATTTAGCCACCCATTTTTTCAAAAATTCAAAAGCCAATAGTTAAAGCGGGTGTGGTGGCGCACGCCTGTAATCCCAGCACTCCGGAGGCTGAGGCAGGAGGATCGCTGTGTGAGACCAGCCTGGGCTACATACTGAGTTCCAGGTCAGTCTCAACTATACAGCAAGACCCTGTCTCAAGAAAACCAAAAAAAAAAAGCCAATAGTTAAAAATAGTCAAGAGGTGCCAGGGATTTAGCTCAGTGGTTCTGCCACCTTCCTTATAAACGCAAGGTCCTGAGTTCGATCCCCAGTAACCAAAAAAAAAAAAAAGTCAAGTTGGCCCAGCTGGTGTGGTGGCGCACACCTGTAATCCCAGCACTCGGGAGGCTGAGGCAGGAGGATCGCTGTGAGTTCGAGACCAGCCTGAGCTACACATAGTGAGTTCCAGGTCAGTCTCAACTACGTAGTGAGACCCTGTCTCAACCCCCCGCCACAAATAGTCAAGTGTCTGGGTATGGTGGTACAAGCCTGTAATCTCAGCTACTGGTGAGGCTGAGGCAGGAGAATTGTAAATTTGAGGCCAGTTTGGGCAACTTATCGAGACCCTGTCTCAAAAATTTAAAAAGGGCTGAGGGGAATGTAGGTTGGTATGTACAACTGGGGTCCATGCCCAGTGCCACACACAAAGGACAGGTGGATGGTGCATCTGTCACCCTTTCTCCATAAACGTGCCCCCAGCTGAGGAGACTCTGGAGCAGGGACAGAGATGCCTTTAACCACAGGGGTCTCAGCAGGGCCCAGGCGTAGAGGGAAACGCACCTTGGAGGCAAAGCGCAGAGAGTTGAGGGACTCAGAGACATTCTCTTCGAGGGGTGAGATGTTCACGAACATGAGCCTGTGGAGAGATGGACGCCTGTGCTGCTCCCTGCCCCGTGGCAGCCAGACCCCTCCAGCACACCCGCGCCTCTCACTCACATCTTAGCGCTGCCGCCCAGAGAGTTCTGCAGCAGGTAGGTGAGCTTGCTGTTCCGGTAGGGGATGTGGGGCTCCTGGGGGGTGTGGGGAGCAGGCTGTGAGGATGGCACAGGGCGCCGCAGGCCCACCGCCCCGCCCGTCCAGGCTGCCCAGAACACCTTGTTGCTCAGGGCCATGATGACCAGCCCCAGCGTGGACAGGCTGCTGTTGATAGCCTGTGTCTCCCGCAGGCGGTCCCGCTCCCCGGGGCCAAGAGCCAGGCTGGGGTCAAGCCGCTCACTGCCAGCCAAGTCCACCAGGTTGAGGGGGGCCCCGCACTGCAGGCCCCGGGCAGCGTGCTCCCCGGAAATCTGCAGCTGGAACACGCTGTGGCTGCGGGACGACCGCTCGTTGTAGGCTGTGCGGGCCACGGCCCGGTTCTGGTGGGCCAGATGAAGCAGGGCCCGCACCTAGAGTTGGGAGCAGCAAGGGGAAGGCAGACAAGTGAGCCCGGCCCTCAGGCAAGGCCTAAGTCGGCCGCTGCCCTCGCGGACTCTCCGCCTAGCCAGGGACTACACGGCCAACGGGACGGGCTGCCGTCCTCCAGGCCCGCTTCCTCCTGCACTTCCGCCTCCCACTCCCGGGCCCACAGGTCTGCACCTCTCTCTCACAGGAGACGGGGACGTAGCGCGCATTGGTGACCGTGAGCTCCTCGCTCTCTGGCCCTGCCCGGCGGATCTCACACTCGCCTCCTTGGCCCTTGCGGGACCCGGTGGCTAGCAGGTCCCGGACAGTCTCATTGTAGATCTCCACATAGCTAGCCACGAAGCTGTAAGTCCAGCCCTGGCCGCTCATCTCCTCAGCCACAGTAAAGAGATGCCTCAGGGCCCGAGGGATCAGCCCCTCCATCGGGGGGTCTCCCTCAGGGCCTCCCTCCATTGTGAAGGTCTTGCCACTTCCGGTCTGGCCGTAAGCAAAGATGCACACGGGGTAGCCATCCAAGGCTGACTGCACAAGCATGGCGATCTCTTCGAAGACTTCGTCCTGCCCGCTTTCCGGGGGGAACACCCGGTCAAAGGAGAAGTCGTGACGGGTCGGCGGGGCTGGCGCGCCAGTCAGGGTCCCACGCCGATCATCTGACCGGGAGAGGCTAAGGCGGGTGGGGAGATCTGAGGGCCCTCCGGGGCCTGGGGGGAACAGGAGGAAGCCAGGGGGTGGCGTGGGCTCTCCTGTGAGAACCGGGCGGACCCGGCAGAATACCCGGATGTTGCCCTTGAGTTCCTGCAGCTGGTTGTGCAGCCGCCGGCGCTCCATCTCCAGCCCGTGGAGCCGGTCTCCTCTCTCAACCAGTAAGGCTGCCTGGGCTGCAGTCTCCTGCCGCAGAGACGCCACCTCCGCCTGGCTGCTCGATAGAGCTGCTTCTGATGCCTGCAGCCTTCTCTGCCCAGAAGGAACAGACAGAGGGTGAGGGAAAACCAACAAATCAGGTGGCTAAGGTAGGGTAAGTGGGGTCCCTGGCCCCAAGGACTTCACAGCCTGGTAAAGAGAGCGACAGGAAAACAGAATCAGAGCTAGGGATGTAGCTCAATGGTAGAGCACTTGCCTACTAACATGTGCCAGCCCTAGGGTGGATCACAGCACTGCAAAAAGAAGAGAAAAAGGAAAGGCAAGAGGGAATCAGCACTAGGATGAAAAGTGCTGTGGGTTTATCCAGGAGGGGAACCTGGAAGGTGTTATCTAGGCCAACACCCCTCTGTCGGGCAGGGTGGGCTGCACGGAACAAAAAACATTCCTTCCGGAAAGGGGAGTGTGCGCGTGCAAAACGCTGGGGGGGACAGCTGCATTCCCGAGGGTCTGCGTGTCGTCCAGCCTCACTGGAGTCCAGCACGGGTCCATGGGCCCAGGGAGAGGGGTACAGCACAGCAGGGGCTGCGATCCGCTGGGGACCGAGGACGGGGGGGAAGGGCGGAGGGGAGAGTCCAGGACACGGAAGGCACAGGGAGAAGGGGCAGAAGGCGAGCGAGGGCCAGGAGCAGGGTGGAGCGGGGCTGGGGCAGGACAGCGGCTTCTGTTCACCTCTTGCTCCTCCAGCCGGCCGGTCAGGGTCCTCCGCTCCTCCTGCAGCCCCAGCTGTTCTCTCTGTAGCACGTGCACCAAGCCCTCCTGCGTGCCCAACCGCTCCTCCAGGTCCAGGACGCGGGCGCGCAGACTCCCCAGCTCCTGCTGGCCCTGCTCAGCCTGGGCCCGCACCTGGGCCAGCTCACCCTCCAGGCCACTACGCTCCGTCCCCAGGGCCTGGGCCTGTTGCTGGGCCTCCTGGAGCTGGTCCCGCAGCTGCTGGTTCTCCCGGCCCAGTGTTTGTGCCCTCTCACGGCTGCACTGCAGCTCTACCTTGATGTCGCATAACTGGCCCTTCAGGTCCCAGGCAGGACGTCTGCCGGGTTTCTTGCCTCCCGCCACAGGAGCAGCAGATGCTGACGGGCACAGAAACACGAGGGCTGCAGCCTTCCCTCTCCTCCCCGCTCCACACGGGCAGGAGACAGGAGGGCTTCCCTTACTCCAGGCGTCTCCCGGCACTCACGGCTGTCACCTACCGGCGGGCTTCTGGGCAGGAACGGTGGGGACCGGCTTCTGGTTCTTCAGTGCTAAGGAGTCGAGGTGCAGACGTGAGACGACAGCGCCAGCATCCCCTCACCCCTTCTCCCTCCACGCGGCGGAGCCCCTCACAGCAGCTATTACCTGTGGCTGAGGGGCAGGGTCCCGCCTTCCTGGGAAACCTCTGAGCTGCAGAATGGGGAGAGGGAAAATGGGCGCACAGACTGGCTGAGCCAGAAACGGGGAGTTTTTTTGTTTGGGATTTTTTTTAGCGGGGAGACAAGTGTCTTACTATGCAGTCCAGGCTGTCCTTAAGCTCACAATCTTCCCACCTCAGCCTCCAAAAGGGCTAAGATTACAGGCATGCACTACCATGCCCAGCAATCCAGGTGCTTTTTCTGAGGACTGGAAATAAGATAACTTCCTTTGTCCCTAAGTCTGGCCAGCTCTCACTGACCTCCCTTCTAGGACTAGAAATGACCCCGAAACCAAGAAGCAAGTTGGAGTGCAACGAGTAAGAGGAGGGAGGCAAAACCATGTGTGAAAGGGCGCAAATGTCTCTGAAGAAAAAGTGGGGGGTGACACCCATATTTGCTCAAATACAAACAGAATTTCCCTAGAAGACCCGGTTGTGGTGGGGCACACCTGTAACCCCAGCACTGGAGAGGCTGAGGCAGGAGGATCAAGTTCAGAGCCAACCTGGGCTACAAAGCAAGACTGTCCACCTCCCGTTGTCCCCAGAACAGGACTCCCCTAGACGGACACTCAGTTTCCTCTGGGAAGGGGAACCAAGGCACAAGGACAAGAAAATCCCTGCCAAACAATCTTTGTGCCCTTAGAATTTGAACCTAGTGCGATGTCACTGCCTGTTCCAAAGCAGATGCAGGCTGAGGGGAAAGAGGAGCCCCAAACCCTGGCCCCAGCCCACCTGCAGCCTGGCATTGGCGCTGTGGTGCTGTGCTGAGACGCGGTGCCCTTGGGTGCAGGGTGTCGGCTTGGGGTGCTGTGCCCAGGCCCCGTGTCCGTTTCTGGGGAGAGACAGGCCAGGTGGGCTCCCCTCCTCACCCCCCAGCCCCCGCACGCGATCAAGCTGGCTCCCTGGCAGCTCACCTTCGCGGGCTCCGAGGCGCTCTCCATGGGCTCAGGGCCCCGCTTGAGCCGGCTTCCAGAGAGGGGCAGTCGGGAGGGCACTGCAGGTGGGCGCACCTTCGGCTGCGCGTTCCCCTTCACTTCCGCCAGTGGGGACCTCTGCTGGGAAAGGCAAGGCAAGCTCAAGGCCAGCCGGGGTGGAAACCGCCTTCTGGCCTCACCCCAGGCACTCAGCCTCAGCCTCACCCTGGGGCAGGAGATGTGCCCAGCGCCAAAAGCAAAAAGTTGCACAGACCTGAGCTGCCTTTTTGGGTGGCACTCAAACAAGGGACACTCTTCCTAGAAAGAAAGCAAACCTCAAACTCGCACTGCCTGGCAGGGAGCCCTACAGCCTTTTCAGCTGGAGCTGGGACCTAAATGTGCGGGATAGAGGACGGCTGGAGGCAATGACACCGGAAGAGCCAGCTTCCATCCCTACAGAAGCCAGCTGAGGAGGTGCTCCATTAACTCCATCGTGTACACAAGGCCAGGAAGGTGCCTGGTCTAAGGCCATCAGCTAGTAAAAGGCTACCAGAGGACCAGAGAGTTAGCTCAGCGGTGCTGCCACCTGCCTCACAAGGTAAAGGTCCAGAGTTTGATCCCTAATACCAAAAAAAAAGGCTGCAGAAGGCCCAGATGTGGTGGTGCACACCCATAATCCCAGCACTTGGTAGGCTGAGGCAAGAGGATCCTCACAAGTTTGAGGCCAGCGTGAGCTACATAATGAGCTAAAAGCCAGCCTGAACTACAAAGTGAGACCCTATCTCAAAAAAAAAAAAAAAAAAAAAAA